TTAAGAATATATTCTTTATTTAAGAATATATTCTTTATTTAAGAATATATTCTTAATTTCGGAAGAATATCATCTAAAATCTTTAAGAAGATTTTTTAAGTATAAAATCTTCTACTTACAAGAATATAATTTTTTCGGTGTACTTATTAAGATTTTAATTACTTTAATTACACACGTGGAAATCTTATATCGGTGTAGTTAAACTGCTGCAATCACATTTTTTTTTAATATTCTGAAAAAAATCTTCTAATGTGAATTTAGCGCGACTTAAACAATTAACGCGGCTTCTTCAAAAAATCTCGAGAACGCGCGACTTCTCTCGCACCGCCTTTAACACACCGGTCCATTCTTCCATTCCGCACAATTCACTCTGCCGCTTCTCGAAATGTTGCCGCTCTTCTTCATCGGGTCGTAACGAGTTTGCTGTAGTCCCGAAGAGGCCAAATGGGCCTAATGAAGACATCGCGGTAACTCGGCAGAAAGAAGGAAGGCCTCCCCGGTCTCTATCCCAAGGTTCCAAATCACCCGCACAATGGCCGACTTCGCATCCATTGTCGAAAGCAGCAGGGCCGCGACCAAATCGGACTCCGCTCAATAATGGCAGAGACGAGGCATCGTTGCCCGGTATTGTGTCGTTTCCTGAAAGCGGGTTTTAAGCTATCAAACGGACCTCAGTCCGACTAAGTGCGATACGGAAGAGATCAGAGGGACACCCTTCTCTCTCTTTCTCTCTCTCTCTCTCACACACGCGCACACCCTCGTTGAGAAATCGCCATTCAGTGTCAATGTCATCAATCGTTCGGGTCGGAACGAATCGCGTGAAAAGGATTTCACAGAAATTTCGAACACGGACGATATTGTTTGGTTTTACGCGTATTCCGACCGTTTAACTCGCGGATTGACGACGAGAAGAATTCTCGTCTCTCTCTCTGTATATTTTGAAGGACCGTGTTAGCATCTGCGATGTTACGCGTAAATATCTGTAAACGCGTTTCTACGTATAACTGTTCGTTTGTTCGGCCATGTACTTTAAACGAGTATATCGGTTTTAATTCACTTTGGATTTTTCAGAATTTTTTTTTGATATGTAATAGGCAAAACTGTTTGTTTAAATTTCAAAAGTTATTGTTTAAATTATGTTTAACGTTCTCAACGTCACTTTTGTAATTCACTTAACATATTTTCGTTCTGAAATCCCGGGATGTAAAGCGGGATGCGCCATTTTGACGGTAAAAGACTGACCATGTCAGAATGGCAGGCTGCGGGCCGATGATTGTCATAAATAGTTGACGGGTAATCACGCCCGGGTTACAAACTATATAACTGTCACAATCGGGGGAAGGCAACAATAGGGAAAGCTGTGGTGACCAAAGATTCGTTCGCGTCGGTGTAGCTTCCACCTGGTACATGTGGAATCGTAATAATTCCAGGTGCATATACACCGATGTGAAATCGTAAACGACGACGTGCACTGGCTACGTGATAGGTGGTAACTGGTAACTGGTACCTGATGATTTGTGACTGGTAGCCCGCCGCGACCGGGCTTAATCCCACAAAGAGCGAGCCGGCCTTAGAAATTTCTGGACAATTTATTCCGTGGCATGCGATGTGTAAAAAGGACACCGCGTACGACCGATGCGGCAACATTGTGACTGCTTGTGGAATTTGAAGCAAAGTTTGGCGGAAAAGTTGAAGAACGTTTTACGGAACATTAACAGCTTCGATTAAATTGATCGAATACCCCCCATGTTTGCGATAAAATATAAGTGACATAATGTCTTGTAAATTACATTCAAAATTGTTTTTTTATTTTTAATCTCTTTGTAGTAATGTTTTGTTTGCTTAGGAGAAAAAATATATTTAGTTAATTTAAATAAATTAGCGATAAATAGAGATTACTCTCAGGCTCTATAAGTCTTTTGAACTAATAATATATGAATATAAGGATATGAAGAGCCGTTCGCAAGATGTTGTGCGTAAATGTGAGAATATATTAGGTCTACCGGAAAGTTCTGTCCGTTTTTGGAATAAAACAAAATACAAATTGTTTTTAATTTTTCAAAAATGGGATATACAAATTGCCCTCACGCTGGCAAGAAATCATTAATAATAATGGCAATTATATTATTTAATAAAGTTTATTGACGGTAAGAAAAATTTGTATTTTGTTTTATTCCAAAAACGGACAGAACTTTCCGGTAGACCTA